GGGGGCCAATCCTTCACAACCATCTCTAGTATCAGAAACATCTTGCTCACATCATGGGGGAGTTTTACCACCTCCTCATAATGCTACTTCCACATCTTTTCATCCCCATGGTGACTAGAGCAAAATCAGGGAAGCATATTGGACATGTTCAGATCGTGTTTCAAAAATTGGTTCATAATATGACTACTAATAAATTTGTGTTAAATAGTGTAGGTTTGAATGTTCAAGAGCCTAAAATTGTCAAGCAAGCACTTTAACTTCCACATTGGGTCGATGCAATGAAAGAAGAGCTAAAAGCACCTCACAACAATAATGCATGGACATTGGTTCCTCCACCTTCACCTTAAACAAACATTGTCAGCTCAAAATGGGTGTTCAAGATAAAACTGCATCGTAATGGAAGTATTGACAGGTTTAAGCAAGGCTAGTAGCATGAGGATACTCATAAGTGCTTGGGGTGGACTTCGATGAGGCCTTTAGTCTAGCTTTAAAATGAACAACTCTACAATTGGTTATTGCTTTTGCTACTACTCTAGCTATTACTCTATCATGGCCACTTAGATAGCTGGATGTAAAGAATGCATTGCTTCATAGAAAACTGAAAGAGGAAGTGTACATTAGTCAACCACCTGGCTTTGAAGATTTTATTCACCCTAATTATGTTTGCAAAGTCAACAAATTGATCTATGGTCTAAAGTCGGCTCCAAGGGCATGGTTTGATACATTTACTATTTAACTCTTTCAAATTGGGTTCTATTGTAGTAAAGCGGATTCTTCATAGAGGTCAAGATGCTGTACTACTCTTGCTTTATGTAGATGACATTGTTCTCATAGCCAGTTCATTGCAACTACTTCAAGAAATTATTAGCAATTTGAGTAGCAAGTTTGCACCTCAAGGATTTTTGATCTCTTAATTATTTTCTGGGCATTGAAGTAAATAAGTTTCCAGGAGGCATTTTCTTGTCACAAGCCAAATATGCCAAAGACATCCTTTGCCGAGCCTCCATGCTTGAAGCCTTTGCTATTGCTACCCCTATGGCTATTAAAGATACAATCACTTTGAGGGATAATGAGCTTGTGAATGACCAAGAATATAGAAAACTTGTTGGGGCACTACAATAGTTGACAGTAATGAGACTTGATATTTGTCATGTTGTTAATAAAGTTTGTCAATTCAGGCGGCAACCAACTCTCACTCATCTTCGTTAGGTTAAACGCATTTTACTGTACATCAAAGGGACTATGCATCATGGCCTACGGTTCTCTTCTCATAGCACACTATCACTAATAGGTTTTTGTGATACAGATTGGACTGGCTATCTAAGCACTAGAAGAAGCACCACTGGCTATTGTGTATTCGGGGAAAATTATATTTCATGGTCTTCAAAGAAACAACCCACTATCTCTTGATCTACAGCTAAAGCAAAATATCAAGCTTTGGTTTTTACCACAACTGAGGTCACATGGATCAACTATTTCCTTTGTGACATTAGAATGTCTCTTCCTAATCCTCCTCAAGTTTTTTCGGATAACATTCATGCCTTACATATGTCTATCAATCCTGTCATTCATGCTTGCATGAAACACATGGAGCTAGACTACCACTTTGTTTGGAAAAAGTAGCCCTTGGTACTTTGGTCATTCAATACATTCCTAGTAGGGACCAAGTTGTTAATCTACTTACAAAACCATTTCCATGTGCACAGTTCCAAGTGTTGAAGTTCAAATTGGGGTTGGTTAAATCAACCATCTCTAGTTTGAGGGGGAGTATGAAAAAGCAATCAATACAAGAGCCAAATAAGGGAACAAATGACGGCAAATATGAGCAATTGAGATTTGAATTGAACAAGAAACAACAACAAAAGAGGAAGGAAATTATCTGTCATAATTTCCTAATGGTCATAATGCAGAAATTGAGCAACAGTCAAAACAACAATCCTTTGCATAATTCTAGGCATGGAAACATGTCATGTAAATATTATATATACATATGCCATTGTACAAAACATCAAGAAATCTAAATATAATTCAGTATTCTCTTTTCTATCATTGTTTTTAGTTTTTCTTCACTGGACAATCATAGCACTTGCCTCATTGCTTGCTCTAGGCTAGATTTGCCTTATTTCTTCTTGTGAAAGGGGGATGCTCTCAAATGAGAGAGCACTCAACCATTCCTCCACAATTTATTTTTCCATATCGTAACCATGGAAGCATAAAATAGCTTGGTTTGCATCAACAGGTTACCTAATGATGTTCTTTCACACATTGTGTCATTTCTTCCTTTAAAAGATGCAATTTGTATCTTTGTATTGTCAAGAAGGCGAAGGTACATCTACACTTCAAGTTCAAACCTCGTATTTGATTTTGGAGGTTTCCTTAATTTTGAAGAACGTATACTGGGGTTGATTCATCTCATCAATGTTGTGGATAGGGTATTATTTCCCCATGACGGATGTCCTATAAATAGATTATATCTTGGTGGCTTAGAGTCACAACCTCTTGGCCTTTAGTGCCTTGAAAGTTAGATATGTGGTCTAACATTGTGTGGAATTCTAGCTAGAGATATAGTTTATATTATTTGTTAATGCTCATTGGCTGTGTTTAACTAGTTTATTTACTAGTAAGACATTGGCAATTCTAAAGTTGGTTGTGCCATTAAATTCTGTTTTTGAGATCCCTATCGAAGTTTTTCTCCCAAGCTTTAAGGAGCTTCATCTTGACAGCGCATTCCCTTTTCCAATGATAATTTTGCTCAAAGCCTACTTTCTAACCATCCTATTCTTAAGAGTTTGTTCTACATGTTTAGAGATGAGAATTGCAAATTCTTTGTTTCTCATCTTATACTTTAGAGCCTCTTGAATTTGATTGCATGTGTGAGGAAGGAGGGTATAGAAGTTTTGAAATCGCAATTAATGCCCCAAGTCTTGTGTACTTGGAATACAATGTATGTGAAGTAAACTCTCATACTTTTGTAAACATGCAATCTCTTACTGAAGCTAGTATTTTTTTTTTAACATAATGAAGTCGATCCTTTGCCTTACAGCAATGCTGCAATTGATTTGATGAGAGGGATAAGCAAAGTTCAAAAACTTGGAATATTGGTTGCAACTCTTAATGTTAAGTTTTCTGAGCATTGCTTATTCCTATAATGAACCATAAATTATGAATTGGCTAGTTTCTCATTTAGTTATTTTTTAAAAGCCAAATCTATGTAGTTAACAACTTTCTTTTTGCAAGATCTCCTGAAGTTCAACATTTCAATCCCTGTGTTGCATAATGCGTCTCATTTGACACTTTTCAATTGCAATGACTGTTAGGACTTGTCAATATTTCAACATTTACTAGCATGTTGTGAGTCTTTGGAAACCCATGTTTTTCAGGTATGAAATCAAATTGCCGAAATGATTGACTGCTACTGCAGAATAGAGATTATATATACATAGAGTAAGAATCCACTTACACACAAGTCATACCCATCGTACTTATATAAAATATCAATAATTTATCTCTCAACTTTCAATGATTGAGCTTTATTCACATTCATTAAATATAATTATTTTTTCCATCTAAAAGTTCGTGATAAATCTTAACCATTGAAAGTGAATAAATAAATTGTTAAAGTTTTATGTAAATGTGATGTATAAAACTTGTGTGTAAGTAGATTCCTTTTTATATATACAAATACGAAAAAGTATTTTGCAAATCATCCTCCCTAATTTTTTTTGGAGGACATTTAAAAACTCTTTTTTTTTATTCATATTTTTAAAAACTAACTATGAAATTAAAAATTTTATTCATATAGATCATACAAGTAAATTTTTATGTTGATTTAATAGGCCTAAATATTTCATTAACTACAAGAAATTTAACACCATTAAATATATGTTATCATGTAGAGTTTTTTTTTTTATCAAAGGGTTATAAGTGTTAGATCAATATGGAAATTGATATGGATGATCTATATGAATAAACTTTTAACCCAATGGTCAAATTCTAAAAATATTAATTATAAGGTGGATTTTTAAACATGTTCTCCAACAAAAGATTTCGAAGGATGACCTATCCTACATCATCTTCATACACACACACACACACACACATATAGAATAGAGATCTACTTTCACACAAATCTCACACATCACATTTTCACAAAATCTCAACCATTCATCTCTCCACTTTCAATGGTTGAGATTTATTCATATTTATTAAATATAATTATCCTTTTCACCTAAAAAGTTGTGATAGATCTCAACAATTAAAAGTGGAGAGATAAATGGTTTAAATTTTGTATAAGGTGGTGTATAAAACTTGTGTGTGGATGAATTTCTTCTCATATATATATGTTTATGTTCAGGCATTTATAGATAAGTGGAATCTCGATGCTTTGTACTCCTTAGAGGAATTAGAGCTAGTTGTTTGCTATTTGGCCTTGAGACAATTGAAATTGCAGTGGCACTATCAAAAAGATGGAATTTGTGAAGTATTTAATAAATAATGCAAAAGTTCTAAAGAGAATGAAAGTTCAAATTACTTGGGGAATGTATTGAGAACAATTACAGATAGCTAAAGCATTATTTATGTTACCAAAAGCCTAAAAAACATGCAAACTGTTTGTTACAAATCTTACAACCTATGCTAACAATTGTATAAACTTATCAAAAAAAACTTATGGAAGGACCAAAAAAGTCCATTTTTCATAGTTGAGGACAAAGAAAGTGTAAAATATAGTTTATGAACTAAAATTGTTCACAATTGAAAGTTCAAGAACTAAATTTAAAATTTAACCTAAGAACTATTTGACATTTTTTTGCATTTTTCCTTTGCAAATTTCATAAACTTCTAGTTGAGGTAAAGAAGGTGATGCTGTAGCAAGAATGCAGAACTAAGTCAGCAACTCTCAGTTTACAATACATCAACTTTGTAGGCTACAATATAGGCCAGTGCAATTTTGTCCAAATGGCCACCCAAGTCAACAAAAATGGCCACCCAAGTCTACAAAAATGGCTACCTTCCATCTGCATTTTACTTTTCATGTATTACCTTTAGTTAGATTTTGCCTATAAATAGCCATGTTTCCTCCATTTTATGCATCGAGTTTCAATCAAAGTATTTGAGTTTTCTTCTTCCCCATTTGAGGAATTTTTTTGAGAGTGGATTTCTCTCATTTATCTTTATATCTTAGGTCTTGCCATCCTAAGTGGTGATCTAGCAATCAAATTCATTGTAGTAGGATTCTAAATCTCACCAAAATCAGTGTTTCTATATCGGCTCCTGTGCCATTTATTATCAGAGCCAACATATTTGATGTCTCCATGCCTTCTTGAGCATTCTGATGAAATTCTAGTCACCAGAAAGTGTTCAACACACCAACACGCGTTGTTGCTTTTGTCGCACGCATTGGCAAAGTGACACCACTACAAATTGCATGTAATTCACATGTCAATCATCTTCAAGCTAGCCTCTGCCACCGCCTCATGCTACATCATCACCCATCATTGCCACATCATCTATTTGCCATGTCACATAAGCCACATCATTAAATCTTTCAACTTTTTTTGACTTTACAAATTGGCCCTCATATTTTTGTAAATTTTAAATCAACCCCACTTCCAGAAACTAACTTTCCAAAAAGCTCCTTACCAACCTGAACTCAATGCTCTAAAGCCGTTTTTGGGGTCCAAATTGTCAAATTTTCACTCTATCCACCAATCCTCGTCAACATGCCTCTTAGAAGACAAAATCTTCCTCATCAATGAGCTATTTGAGATGTAGAGATGGAAGAACTTCATCAACAAATTTAAAGGCTTCAAGAAAGAATCGAAGCTTTTGAGGGTTAACAGGTTCAATATCTTCAAGATGAACTACATGAGTCAAAGGAAGATACTAATGAAGAGAATCCCTTCCACCACCTAATGGATAATGAAAACTCATCGTCAACAGAAAAAGTTTTATCATTGACATCCCCAACAGAACGTAGCTCACAAATCCACTAACCTTGGCATCAAAATTGATATTCTTGATTGTGAAAGTCGCCTTCAACCTGATGAATTCATCAATTGGTTGCACACTATGGAGTGTGAATTTGAACACAAGGATATTCTTGACAACAAGCGTGTGAAGCTTGTCACCATCAAATTGAAGAAACATGCATCCACTTGGTGGGTATCTTAAACCAAATCGAGAAAAAGAAGGCCGCAACAAAATTAAAACTTAGGAGAATATGCATCGAGAACTCACTCATAAGTTCTTACCTGATCGTTACTACCAAGATAATTTTGTTAAATTTCATAACTTGCAGTAGAAATCTTTGACTGTGGAAGAATATATTATGGAGTTCAAACAATTGATGATGAAGTGTGATGTTTGAGAAAAAGAATAGCAAAGCATAGCAAGATATCTTAGAGGATTGGACTATGAGGTTTCCAAAATTGTTTAACTTCAACAATATTGGACTTTGGATGATGTCATTTAGCTAGCATTGATATTTGAAAAGTAGTCTCAAAGAGGAATATTACTCGCACTTCAAAATTGTGAGATTTTGGAACCAACCAAGGGACCCAAACCTTAAAAACCATTGCCAAGACCCTTGCTAAAGCTAAGAAGGAAGCTAGTTTGAGCTCCCAACCTAGCGCTTGAAAGTGTTTCAAGTGTCAAAGATTTGGCCACATATATAGCCTTCAACTGTCCAAATAGGAGAGTTGTCACAATTATTAGAGAAGAAATTCATGAAGCCTCAAAAAGGTGAAGTAGAAAAGGAGCATAATGAAGAAATTGAGCTACTACAGTTTGAGGAAGAACTAATCACAATTGACCATGAAGAATCTTTGGTTGTGCATTGAAGTCTTCGTGCTACCATAACCAAGGATGAAGATTGGCTTTAAGATAGCATTTTTCATAGCAGATGTACTTCTTGATGGAAAGCTTGCAATGTCATCATGAATAGTAAAAGTTGTGAGAATGTCGTGTCCAACTATATGGTTGAAAAACTAGGACTACTAGTCAAAGATCATCCCCATCCATACAAGCTACAATGGCTATGGAAAGGAAATGAGGTAAAACTAACTAAATGTTGCCTTGTATCTTTTTCTATTGGTATTAAGTACCAAGATGAAGTATGGTGTGATGTTATTCCTAGGACGTCTGTCTCTTGTTACTTGGTCGCCCCTGGCAATTCGATCAAAAGGCCATCCATGACGGCTACATCAACACTTACTCGTTTGTGATCTCTAATCAACCTTTCAAAAGTTATATCGAGAATCAGGAATAGCAAGTCTCTTTCTATTATCCAAAGTAAATGATGCCACTTCTTCTTTTCCAAAGGAAATTAGATCTCTCCTTGAAGAATTTTTTGATGTTGTTCCTAGAGAGATCCCTCCTGGATTACCACCAAAGTGAGACATTCAGCGTGCATTGATTTCATCCCAAGACTTGTCATCCCAAACAAGCTTGCTTATCTGATGAACCCTCAGGAGCATGCAAAACTTCAACGACAAGTCAAAAAGTTGATAAAGAAAGGACTTGTCAAGGAAAGTGTCAGCCAATGTGCCGTGCCTGTGCTACTAGTCCCAAAGAAAGATGGAACTTGGAGAATGTGTGTGGATAGTCGAGCAGTCAAAAAAATCACTATCAAATATTGATTCCCAATTCCATGCGTTGATGACATGCTTGATCAACTGCATAGCGCTACTGTCTTCTCAAAGATTGACTTGAGAAGTGGATATCACCAGATTCGAATGCATCTAGGTGATGAATGGAAGACAGCATTCGAAACTAGAGATGGTTTGTACAAATGGACAGTCATGCCATTCGGATTGTCTAATGCTCCCAACACTTTCATGCGTCTTATGAACCCGGTATTTCGACTCTTCTTTGGCAAATTTGTCATGGTTTACTTTGATGATATCCTGCCATACATCAAGAATGAACAAGATCATATGGATCATCTCTGGCAAGCAGAAACCATCCCTTTCTCTTTTCACTTTAACTCCTATTGTCTATTATGTCCTAATAAGTCATTGAATCTATTTAGCTGGAGGAACTTCGCAACGATATTGTAGACTTGAAGGAAATGTATAGGGAGCAAGTGAACTTGCTTGTGAATAAGGTATTTTGTTTCCCCCAACTCCGACGTTGCTGGTCCCCCCCCATAAATTCTTGTTTTATTGCCCATTGCTAATAGATGGTTGTTTTTGTTGACATATTCAAATATTGGGTTCTTCAATGGGTAACAGCACCTCATAAGCAATCCTTTTGTGGTATTTAAAAGATATGACATCCTACAGTTTATGGTAAATATAACCTGTCTTACCAAAAATTTTGCCCCTACACTGGTTGTCATGTATTTTTATACAGGAGTCTGTACCTTTTTCCAATCATATGTTGTATAGAACAAAACATTACATGACAAATCAGATGTTTATGCAGATTGAATGTGATGGTAAATTGGTGATTTGTTTTTATAATAAAAGATTAATTCTTTTCTTAAATCATAAATGGTTGTACCTATCATCAATTTTTCTTGTTATTTTGCATTTGTGAGATCCATCATTCCATATGGCCTCAATGGTGTCATTATCTTAATCAAACTTGTGTTCCCCATGGCATGCATTAGTCTCACATGGTTTTTTCATGCGCAGATATTGGACATCCTGTTTCGTGGAGATTTTATTTATTTTTAATAGTATGTCATACTATAAAAGAAATGATGAGATAAACCACAATTTTGCAGGTGAGGAGACTCTTTCATGTTGGGAATTAGGGAAATGTGGAAGAAGGAATGACAGACAATTTCTATAATTAAACATGATTTTGCAGTCGTTTAGATCGAAAATTATATTTCTGTTAATTAAAAGATAATTCAGTGCAGGGAATAAAACTTTTTCCATTTAATTCATGAACAATCCCCCCCCTCTTGTTTTTTTTCTCATTCCCTTTGTCAAACCAAAAGCATTCAGATGGATTTTAACGTATGACCTAAAGAACGTAAAATAATCCAGACGGTTAGAACTGCGACCTATTAGTCATTTACCTTCCTAGTTTCATTTAATTCAATGCTTACCATTTTACCGATATAATATTTTTTGCCTCTTATAATAATAATATGATATGATAAAAAAAAAAAAACAGTTTATAGGTTGAAATATATAAGGGAGTGGGTGAAATTAAAGAAAAAATGGCGAGTTACTTCGAGTAGCTTTTCACAGAAGATAAGTGGCAGAGGCCTAAGCTAGATGGTATCAGCTTCAAACAGATTGATAGGGCAGACAATGCATCCCTTATGGCATCATTCTCCGATGAAGAAATCAAAAATGCTGTATGGGATTGTGAATCGTCAAAGTCTTCAGGCCCGGATGGATTTAATTTCAAATTTGTGAAGAGCATGTGGGAATATATAAAATCTGAGATTGTTGGTTTTATCAGAGAGTTCCAAGAATAGGGTAGGCTGGTAAGAGGATCAAATGCCTCTTTCATAACTCTAATTCCAAAGGTTGAAAACTCCCAAAGGATTGAAGAATACATGCCTATTTCTCTTATCGGAGTTATGTACAAGATAATTGCGAAGCTGTTAGCGAATCGCCTTCGAAAAGTTCTGGACAAAGTTATTGGGGAGCAACAAATGGCATTCATTGAAGGTAGGCAGCTGGTTGATGGAGTGGTTATTGCTAATGAAGTGATTGATGAGGCAAAGAGGAAAAAGAAGAGAAGCTTCCTTTTCAAGGTCGATTTTGAAAAAGCATACGACAAGGTGATTTGGGATTTCCTCGACTATATGCTGATGAGGATGGGTTTCTGCAGTACATGGAGAGGGTGGATACTTGAGTGTCTACAATCAAGCATGGTCTCAGTTCTGGTCAATGGAAGCCCTTCAAGACAATTTCCAGTTAGCAAGGGACTTCGCCAAGGAGACCCTTTATCTCCTTTCCTTTTCCTGATTGTAGTGGAAGGGTTGAATGGTTTAATGTCCTCTGCAGTTGAAAAAGAGTTATACAAGGGTGTGACAGTTGGCAAGGATGCGGTAATGGTTACCCACCTTCAATTTGCAGATGACACCATCTTTTTTGGGGAAGCAATAGAGGATAACATCATGATGATTAAAAGTATAATGAGGACTTTTGAGCTGCCCTTTGGACTGAAAATTAATTTTCAAAAGAGCCAACTTATGGGTATCAGTGCTGAAGATGGCTGGGTAAGCAAAATGGCCTATAGATTATGCTGTAAGAAAGGGATATTACCATTTAAATATCTGGGAATTCCCATCGAGGGAAACCATAAAAGGATCTCTATGTGGCAGCCCTTGTTGGACTCTTTTAAAAAGAAGTTGACAAGATGGAAGGGTCGGCAACTTTCCCTTGGGGTTCGGATCACGCTCATTAATTCTGTGTTGACCAGTTTGCCAGTGTTCTTAATGTCGGTTTACCTAATCCCAAAAGGTACTCTCAAAGATATTGATAGAATTTGGAAGAGTTTCTTATGGGGAGGGGAAGGAGAAAGGAAAAAAATTAATTGGGTCAATTGGAAGAAGGTATGCATGCCGAAAGATTATGGTGGGTTGGGAGTGAGAGATCTAGGGTATTTTAACTTGTCATTGATGGGGAAATGGTGGGGAAGGTTAGCAATAAAAGAGGAAGGATTATGGAGGAGAGTAATAGCAAGTAAGTATAGTGAGGGAGGGGGGCATTGGAAGGATTGGGTAAGGAATGGGGCAGGAGTTAGCTCTTTATGGTGGAGAGATGTTAGAGGGATTAACAAAGTAGAAGGGGAAAATTCAGGGTGGTTAACAGAGGGTTTTAGATTAAAGATAGGAGAAGGGAAGGACGTGAGCTTTGGTGGGATGAGTGGTGTGGGGAGAGTTGTCTAGCTAATAGATTCCCAAGATTGTATCTATTATCTGCAGGAAAGGAGAAGGAATGCTACCAAATGGGATCTATGTGCAATGGAACTTGGAAATGGAATCTTACATGGAGAAGGAAGCTGCTCGAAAGGGAAGAAGAAGCTGCAACAGAACTCAGCAAGCTAATTGAAGGAGTGAAGATATCTCCTGGCCAGCTTGATGAATGGGAGTGGAAACATAGCAAGGACTCCCATTATTCAACCACATCAGCGTACTCACTCTTGACAAAGGTGCCGAGGTGTTCGAATCAAGAAAGAGTCTTCAGGAGAGTATGGAACCCCATCCTGCCAAACAAGATCTCTGCTTTCAACTGGCAACTGTTGCTCAATAGGCTCCCAACCAAATCCAACTTGCTGAAAAGAGGACTTGGCTCAATTATGGGAGATGGCAAATGCAACCTGTGTCAAGAAGAGGAAGAAGACGCAACCCACCTGTTTCTGAAATGCAA